TTCCAGCCTGGCGTTTTGAAGCTTTTCTTGAAGCTCCTGTGTTTCTCGTTCTGCCCTGGCTGTAGCGACACTCTCTCCTTCTACTCTAGCCGCCGCAACAGCAGCGGAGACGGTTTTGGCATCAACAGACTGATTAGTCGCCGCCACAATGGCCTGTCGTTCGGAAGCTAGCATCTCGACATATCGGTGCTCGGCTTCTTTCTCCGCCTGCCGGTTAGCGACCGCAGTCTGATGGTGCACCTGTTCCACCAACTCACGTTCTCGCTCTCTGGCAGCCTTGGCCAGGGCGAGCCTTTCAGCCTCGAACGTCTTCCTAACGTCTTCAATGGTTGCAGTCATCTCCTCTCGACCCAGTCGAGCTTTTTCGGCCCGCTGCGCTCCGCTTGCCAGGAACTCCTGCTGAGTCTTAGCTTCGACAAGTCTAGCCTGGCCCTGAATAGCTAGTATGAGAAGATCTGTGCAGCTATGCTCGCTCATAGGAAAGCAATCTACATACGACCATTGGTTGCTGCACTTGAGGCTTACATCCGAGCAACTTTTACATGCTGGACGCCTGCACGCACCCTCTGGCTCGTGGGCTTTCCCCGGGCATCTGCTCTCCGCCTGAGGCGCACAGTCAGAGGTCCAGTTCCAGCATGCATCATGCATGGGTATAGTGCTGTTGCTCCTTGAAGCAGATCGCGCCCCTGATCTCGGCATGTTCGGCCCCCCCCTACTCGAGGCGTTTGATCGAGGACGCGCGCGCGTGCATTCTGGGGTCTTCGGTACCTCCCGAAGCTCCTCATCCCTTTCATCCTGTCTAACTGGCTCAGTGCACGAAGCTGGCTGTTCAACCATTTCTTCATCCTCAACAACAGCAGCATCGGAGGTCGCCAATCGCCTGAGGCGACGGCGGGACGATTGAAACCTTCTTGAAGCGGTGAATCGTTCAAATCGCAATCCTCGTCCCTCTGCTTTTTGAGCTGAGATGCAGGAGTCCGCCCTGTGAGCTCCCTATCGTGCTTCGCCTGAGATTGATGTTCGATATCAGCCTTGTCCGCCTGAGGCGTCAGGTCACTTGTATCTTCATCTGAACCATCTGGAGACCGCCTCTCGCCTTGGGCGGGGTGGTCTGCGTCCATTAACGAGGACAGTTCTCCGCTCAAGGAAGCCCCTTTTGTTGGCATATTCAAAATCTTCCTCCATAGAGTTTATGTCATGCTCTGTCTCGATTGGCTCATCGGTATCCTGGCCAAATTGTCCGTTCAATGCTATTGGGATGGGAACATTTCCACTCGCGCCTCCCCATCCGCCTGGGACGCTGGGGCGCGAGCCTGTGGAATCGCGCGCTTCTCCCGACCCACTGGCTTTACCAGCGGCCGGCACGAATGCATGTGCAACAATCGGAATAGGACTGATCGACTCCGACGATTCGGCGATCAGAGACGAGAGTGCTCCTCGTCTGGGTCTCGCTGTTACGCCATTCCGCCCATGCGGGTCTGGGGTTTGTTCGCGGTTACCAATCGGAAATCCAGAGGGAGAGCCATCTTCCGACATCTCAACAACCTCTTCACTACTTCTACCCCGAGAGACCCGAGTGGCGATACTAGAAGAGGGAAGGCGGCCCTGCCCCGGGCCGCTCTCCTGTAGGTGATGTCCGTCATGTTGTACAACTTGCTGTTCAGCGTTTCGCGAAGTGACGGACATTTCATCTGTCTTATCATAGCTCATACCCACAGCGACTAAGTCGCAGGGTCCATCAGCTGATATAAACCCGCATCGACTATGTCGCGGCTATCGGCTGATAGCCAGTCTTTCCTCTGAGAATCTGGGTAAGATGACAAAGGAATTAAGATCTCGTGTTCACTCTGCTCAGCGGTGGAGGGTACGGGACGAGACATCGATAAGACAAGTATCCGGTAAGCGAGTGTACTCTATCAGGAAAAGTAAGGGAGGAGGCCGGCTGGCCGACAACCGACGAAGTGCGACGGCCGAGGGCGGGCGCGCTCCTTTTATCTCCTGTGCGCTCGCGCGTAGCTCGACTACAATACAGCTACAGATAGTCACACATTGCGCAGCAAAGCAAGTGGTGTGAAAAGCAGCAAGAAGATGAGGCGGAGAGGAGCGTATTTACTGAAAGGCGGAAGCACTTCCAGGAGAAGCAGTGCATCAGGGATAATAGGGACGAAGAGGAACAGTGTGAGACCGCAGCGGATCGAATCACACATACACATATGCATACATGTATATATAGCGAGAGAAAGAGAGAGAGAGAGAGAGAGAGAGAGAGAGAGAGAGAGAGAGAAAGGGCAATCTACACATAGAAATGCAACAACACACAACATAAACCCACAGACATATATACACATGAAGAGAGAGAGAGAGAGAGAGAGAGAGAGAGAGAGAGAGAGAGAGAGAGAGAGAGAGAGAGAGAAAAAAAAAAAAAAAAAAAAAAAAAAAAAAAAAAGAGAGAGAGAGGGAGAGAGAGAGAGAGAGAGAGCATCAGCCAAGCAACACACACACATTCTAGCCAGCAGTGTGGACCCCAAAGTGTGAATTATTGCACTGGGAAGTTGGACGCTCTGCGGTATGAGCTAGGTGCTGCAAGCTCGTAGCAGGCGTTGTGTAAGCTATGGTGTGTCAGATATGTTATGTGAGACATGCAGTGTTAGCTTTGCAAGACGTGATGCGGAGTGTAAGCTATGTGATGCCAGCTACACCGTGAAAGCTGCACGGTATAACCTACATGGTATGAGACACGCGGTACAAGTTAAGTTGTGTAAGAGAACCATTATACACTATGCGGTGGTTAGCTTTGTTGTGTCGTACAGGTGTGAACGATGTGGTAAACGTAAGCTATGTCGCGTAAGCTGTGCGGTGGGAACTATGTGGTGTGATGTATGCTGCGTGCGCCGTGTGATCTGAACTAACTAATGTAGTGTATGCGCTGTAGGTCAAGTGGTGTGACCCATGACGTGCAAGCATCTCTGTGTAGGCTGTAGTGTGTACGCTGTGGGGTGTGTGAACTTTGTGACGTGAACCATCTTGTTTAACACATGCAGTGCAAAGATATGGTTTGGGAACTGTGCGGTTTCAGTTGCGTGGGGCAGGCTATGTCATGTATGCTCGGTTGTGCGCAAACTACGTGGTGTAACACATGCGGATGAAAGCTATGCGGTGCTTGAGTTACACAGCGCAGGCTATGCGGCGCCCGCAAGTCGCCCACGAGCGGGACTGGGCGCCGGCGCGGCGAAACCACGGGGCAACCGCCCAGAGGCGCCCACGAGCGGAACTGGGCGACAGCGTGGCGAACCCTCGGGGCACCCACCCAACGCACGTGGCGTCCACGAGGCGCCCGCGAACGGCAACGGGCGACATCACTGCGAAGAAAAGGGGGCCCACCCAACTACGCGACGAAGCCGCGTGCTGAAATAACACCCAAGTGCAAACGCAGCTTGGGAAACCAAGGCGAAAGAAATAATGACAGAGAGAGAAGGAAAGATAGTGAGAGGGAAACAACAAAGACAACCACGTAACACCATAAGGAGACAATGATCTAGAGAGAACGGGGGAGAGAAAAGAGAGAGAGAGAGAGAGAGAAAAAAAAAAAAAAAAAAAAAAAAAAAAAAAAAAAAAAAAAAAAAAAAAAAAAAAAAAAAAAAAAAAAAAAAAAAAAAAAAAAAAAAAAAAAAAAAAAAAAAAAAAAAAACGAACATAAAAGGAGGGAGAGGGAAATTGCAAAAACAGAGAGAGAGAGATAGAGAGAGAGGAAGATAACTATAAGGACTGACAGACAGACACAGAGAGAGAGAGGGAGACGCGACAGACAGACAAGCATACGTGTGAACATTTTTTTTTAGTCTGTAGGGTCAGGAATGTCTAAGGCTGGACACGTGCGGGCCACGTGAGATGGGCAGGGAATTCCTGAGCAAAACATGTGGCAGCGACATTGCAGGGCACCCCATGTTACTCGCTCTCATTATAGTCGCATACATAGCCATGAAAGCTCTTTCTCAAGTGCTGACTCTTCTATCTAATTGTGCATGTGCTGAGGCGTGAAGACGGCCCCACGCGAGCGCGCAACTACAAAGGCGAAGCCTGAGAACCCTACTCCCGAAACCACTGTGCGTGCCCGGCCTACGCTATGTTCTGGGATCTTTGATCCCGCAACCCCTGACAGAACACAAACCACACAAATCGGTCCCAGCATTTTACATGTGGGGACGAAAACAGGGTTTGCCGATGAGGGTCCAAAACTGGCCGTGAGAAGTCACGCCCGAGTACCAGCCACGACCCTGGCATCTGAATGCGTCGCGGCAGGCCGAGGCCTCCCCAAGCACGTTCCAAAGCATGAAGTTTGCTCCCAGCGAATGCCGACCTAGCAGAAGCCAGATGTTTTAAAACTGGCATTATGATGTCTACTTGACTTTCAGTGCCCCGGGGAGAATGCACGGCATTGGCTTCGCAATGTTATCAATTATACACGGATTCGTTCTTGGCAAAGCACGGCCGAAGCAACTTGATCAAACAACGCGTGCGGTCATTGCCGGCTCGAACCCTCTCGCAGCCGGCTGCGCCGAGGCCCTCGAGGCCCCGTGGGAATGCATTCGAATGCGGGAGGGGGCGGGCGCCCGCGGCGGGCGCGACGCCGAGTTTGATAAGGAGTGGCAACTCACATAGCGTCCACCTGACCATGCTCATCATAGCGTCCACCTGACCATGCCGAAGTCTGTTCACGAGTAACTGCTGGCTCTGTCCACGGCGCAGGCCACGCTGGGGTTCGGGCGCAATCTCCGCCTGACAAGGATTACCATTCAACTTCTCTACTTCGCGAGAGACTTCCCCGCAGCCCGCTTGCGGGTAGGAGTGGGGGCGGCGAGCGGGCGAAGCCCGTGCATGACCGTGCTTGCCAGGTTCTTCTCGCACCAGAGACGTGCTGCTGGGGGTTGGCGGGGGGCCTTTGCCACTGGGCCTGCGCTCAGCCCCCCCTTCTCGCATCGGGCGATGCTCTCGCGGTTCCCCTACTTCCCGCGCTTCTGGATCTCGCCTGGGGCCCGCTTCGGGCGGAGGCGGTCCCGCGAAGCGCCGCTGCGTCGCATTTGATAGGGCGCCAGCTTCGGCAGCCGGATCTTGACGGCGGCACCCTTGAGATGCTTGAGGCGCTGGGCGTGCTTGTCGTTGAAGATCGGCTCGCTTGCGGCAATCGCGCGGACCGGCCCCCGGATCTCGGTGGTCCACGTTTGCCCCGGGTCCCACGTGACGGCGTCGTCGTACATGCAGACTTTTGCGGGGCGCACCTCCTTGGACGGGCTGGTCACTGGTCCGGCGCGGGCCAATGTTCGACCGCGGCGGGCGGAGACACTTCGCTCTCAGGTTGTGGACCCCGCCAGGCCTCCCATGCGTGACCAGACTCATCAACCCCTCCCGCGGCCGCGCGAGGCTGGCCAGCTCGGATCAGATGGGCCACGCTCGCAGCCCAGACTGGGCGGGCCCCTGGCAGGCGCGACTACCCAGGAGCAGGCGGCCGCAGCCCTGGGGGGCGCCGTGGGCACGAGAAAGCGAAGCGCCCCAGTCTTCCCAGACTCGGGGTAGATGCCCTTGATGGCGACCAGCAACAGGCGACCAGTGCACCTGCTTTGGCAGTTGAAGAACCTCTCGTCGACCACCTCGATCAGCGCGCAGTCAAGGTCCTCCAGGAAGCCCCGCAAGCCCGAGCCGAGCGCAGTCGCCCCCGAAGTCCTCGACCATTCTTGAACACTGCGCGTCCATCTTCTCGCCCGCGGCCTCGGTCTCGAGGAGCGAGCGGCCGAGGGCGTCGGCCTCCTCTGAGTAGCGATCCCGCCTCAAGAGGGTCGCCGTCAATATCCTCTCCTTCGCTGGCTGCGCCAGTGGCGAGATCCTCGGCGAACGAGGGGCCACCCGCGCTCGCCGAGCTGGCGACTTCGGCGTGGCCCCCTTCGCCAGGGCGCCCTGGCCGTTGGCCGCCGGCTGGCGCTCGGCCCGCCTGCCCGGCAGCGCCGCCGCCAGGGGCCGCGGGCTGCGCGCCCCGCGCGCGTCGCCACTGGGATGAGGGCTCAAACCGCCGCGAAGGTCCGTCCGCGGGGTTGAGCTTAAACGGCAGCCAACGAACATAGCAACGGACGCCCAGGGCGAAAGACAGAGCACACCAACGTCGACAGCATTGGTTTTGTTTGTACTCGCAGGCCTCAGTTTACGAAGGCCAGGAATTCGCCCTAGGTTGTCTCCAAGAAACGCGACGCGACGGCGACGCAGAGGCCGGATTAAACCTGTAGCTTCGAGGATATGGATCGCTTCTTAAGAAGAGAACCGCCCAGGGTACATGTGCTTCCAGGGGGCCTCGTGGACCCAATCGGGGCTGATGTCGGGGAACTGGCCCCCCCCCCCCGAACCTCGTCGGGCTCGTCGGCCCCCCGAGGGGCGCGGTTAAGACACTTGTCGACCAGGGCGACCCAGGGGCCCAGCGAGGGCACGGGGTCGATGATCCATGTCCTGCCTGACTCTGTATCTGAGACGCTCGTCGATCCTGCCGGCGCTCGCCGCCTTTTCGGCGGGCCAGGAAGACTTGACAACGCCCCGGCCAAGAGGGGCGCGCACCCGTCGCGGCGACACCGCAGTGCCAGGGCAACTTCCCCTCGACACATGCGAAAAGAGGCAGCGATCGCGCCGCCTCGAGCCCAGCGAGCACTGATGGCCAGCCCGCTTGCTCCAGAACGCGGCTTGAATGAATTGATAAGAAGCTAACGCTGCGGCCAGGGGCGACCGCGGCAGCATAGAAGTGAAAAAGGTGGCCCATGGCGTTATCCAGCTGATGACCCGTCGCGGCGCCACTGTTGAAGACCCGCGTCAGAGAGAGGGCGGTCGACGCAATGCCAGCCTTGGCGTCGATGGAGACGCCCAGCACCTCAGCGTCGTTCCGAGCGTCGACCTGCTCTTGGTTCGCCAGACCCACGTGACCCAGCGCCTCGCAAGCCTGGCCCTTGAGTAGCTGTGCGTCCGCCTTGTGTCCGCCCAGCGCACCTGCGATGTCCGCGCGAACGCCGTGCAAGGGCACGCTGGCGGCGGCGATAAGGCGCGACGCGCCAAATGCCTGCGGGCGACGCGCAGGAGGGGCGCCTGCGGCGGTCTCGACCTGCTCGGCCGCCGCCTCCTGCGCGAAATAGAGGGGCCACTTGAAGCCCGCGGGGGGCGCGGCGAAGCGCGGGCGCACCGGGCGGCCTCCAGACAGCCGCTCCCCCGCGAGCTCGCGAAGGCCATGCTCCTTCGCCCGGAGTGGCGGCGAGCCAACAAATCTCCTCAGCTCGATGTCGATCTTGAAGCGGTAGATCGCGCCCCGCGCGTCACCAGTGACTCGGCCATCGCCAGCGCCGCCCCTGGAGGGGTCGCGAAACCGACGGTTGCCCCGACGGGCGCCCGCCGCCGATCTCTGCTTCCCCAGCGCCTCTTGGCCGCAGCGGCGCGCCCCTTCGCCGCCGCGCCCCGTCGCGAGACGCCGCTCGACTCCAGCTGTTTGAAGAAGCGGGCGGGCGCCAGCCTGCCCCCCGAAAGTGCGCGGTTCATGCGGGGCTTTATCGGCCCCGACCTGCCCCGCAGCGCCCAACGCTCGCATCCGACCTGACTTGGCGGCGCGCGCACGGGGGCGGAGGGTGGGTTCGTGGAAGGAGGCTGCTTCTCAGAAGGCGCCGGCCTTGCATCTGCAGATGCGACCCGCGCCTTCTAAGAAGCAGGGCTGCTTCTAAGAAGCCAGCGCGCAGGCGGCCCCCGCCAGCGCCGCGTCGACCGCGCGCGGGCAATTCCAACGCGAAGAGGGCGCCGACAGGAGCTCGCTCCAGCAATCGCATCACGCTCATCCAGGTCGCAGGCGGCCTGAGAACGCAAAAGCGCGAGCGGCTTCATGCGGGCGCGCGATAGCAGACATAGCCTGAGACCGCTCCATGACGGCCCTGTTGCGAGCGGTCGCCACCAACTGCGCCGCGGGGGAAGCGCCTGGAGATCGGGGCGTAGTGCCACGCCCACTCAGCCTGTTCAACGCAGAGGTGGCCTCGCTGGACCGACGCGTCACGGCCTAGCGGCGACCGATCCTCCGACGCGCGCCACGGCCGAGGTTCGCACCGCAGGGCCCCTCCCCCACCCGCGTCGGCAGAGAGGGAGGGTTCGGACTGCGTCGCTCAAAAAATACCACTTCGCCAAAAGAGATGGAGACGAACGCTCGCACCATGGCGCTGCCCCTCTAATATGACAAATGGCCTGCAACGGGGTGCGTGCAGGCCGCCGCCCGCGCTCTAGGACACCCCCGCGCCGCCGCCCATCTTGCCCGGGTCCGCCGTCCTCCAAGGGCGCAAGGCGGCTGTTCGGACATTTTGGGCTTTCTGGCGCTGCTTTTCGATATCTGCCTTCTCCTTGGCACGTGTTGCCACGTGAGCGGCGGCCGTCCTCCGCTGGCGGCCCGACCGGGGCCCCCCGCCCTGAAAACGCCCCATCCCCGGGGTCGTGGCTGGCGGCGCCCAACGGCCGCTGCATGCGACGGGCCGCCATCTCGAAGCACGCCATGGATGCCGGGTTGAGCTGGCCGTAGCACCCCGCGCGCCACTGCGGCCGACGCAGGGCCTGCAGCTCGTGGCAGAGGCAATCCGAGGCAGACAAACGGTTCTCCACCAAGTACTTCTGGAAACAGAGGATGGGAGGCCCCCGGTGCGCGGCCGATGCCCTTGGCCATCCGCAGCATCGCACGGTGCCCTTCGACGGGCCAGTCTTCGTAGAAACTCTCCTGCACCTCGGCGACCGCCTCCCTCCAGCTCTTGAGCCGATCGCCAGGATCGTCGTGCGTCGCAAATAGAATCTAAGCGTCGTCGTCGCGCCCCTCTTGCATTGTGGCGGGCCTTTCCCCCTCGGCCTCCGCGAGCCTCGCGATGGCGGCGCGGCGTTTCCTGTCAACGTCCGCCACCTCGACGCACGGCGCGCGGGAAAGCACGGAAGAGGCCGAGGATGTGGGCCCAGACAGGTTGGAGAACTCCACCAGCATGCGGTCGCCCAACTGCGCGCTACACTTCTCTCCACTCATGGCGGCGGCCGAGACATCGGCGCCCGGCGGGGAAGCGAAGGCTGGCTCGCCCACGACCCAGGCAAACCCTGTCTCGTCCCGCACAGGACGCGGCGTGGAGGCGCTTCCCTCGTCGGCATCTTGGGCGGCGGCGGGTGGAGGGGCTTATGCGCGCCCCTTCTGCCAGCACCCCGGCCGCCCGAGAGCATGTCGGGGCTTGACTTGCCACGCGGCCGTCGATGCACATGCGCTTCGCCCACGAGGAGGCTCTCGTCGCCATCGCCATGCTCGCGCCAGGAGGTGCTCAAGCGCCAGCACGCGGCAGTTCCGCAGCTGGGCACAACGGATTTAACCAAGACCTGGAGCCCTCATCCCCAGCAGCTCTCGGACCAACTGGCGGGACTCCACGATCCTTGCCCTGGGTTCTCGGAGATCCAGCGATCGTCGGAAGCGGCATCTCGGCGACTTGACCTCGCGCGGCACACGGCCGCCAGAGCTCGCGAAGACAACGTCGACAATGTCGCCGCCGCGCGACCGTTCGACCACCTTGTCGCCACCCAGCAACTCGAGGACCTACTCGGCGAGGGACAGTGGCCAGCCCGCGAAATTATCATGCAGCAAGTCCTCCCCTGGGTCATCGCGGCGCACGCAGATCCTAACGCCGGGCGTCGGCCCCTTCAGCGACGCCGCCACCTCGGAGGGCACCCCGGCCATTGGCGTCATCGCTATGTGGAACGCGACGCCCAGCGAACCAGGCCCCACAGAAGACGGAACACAAACAAGCCACCAGCGCGATCACAAACCCGAAAAGCCACGACTCAGGCTCGAAGCGCGGTGGGATGACTGGCGCCGCTGGTCAAAGGCATAGCTCCGGGCACGACAAGGACGACAAAGAGAACTCGGGCGGTGGCGGACAAGAGGGACACCCGTCTGAACTCCCTGAGGCCGTCTACCCCGCGATGGCCCCTGCTCTGGCGCCGCGCCCGACTTCCCGTGCAGCTGCGCGGAGAGCGTCGCCAAACTCTGGTAACATCATCCGGCGCGAGCGCATCGAGAACTTGAGCAGAAAATGTGGCCACGACGTTGCATCGCACCCCTTTCCACTCGCCCTCATTGCAGTCACAGACAGAACCACGCACGTGCACTCATAATATCCGCCACCGAACCTCTAGACGCGGAGTGGGCATGTCCTCCGGTCCTTTGCCCAGTCCCCTGAGCCTCAGTCCTCACTCCTAAGGAGTCTATTAAGGGGACCCGAACCCAAATTCTCAAATCTTCCTGGGCGCCCCGCGGTCCCCCTGCGGCTTGCCGCGTATTGTCGCGTGAGTTTTCCGGGCCCAAATGGCCAAGAGACGGGCCAATGGGGCCCCCAGAGGCCGCCAATGCGGCCCAGGAGGGGCCGCCGAACGATCGCCCCAGGACGCCCAAGACGCCCCCCCAAGAGGCCTCCAAGAGGCCTCCCATGAGCGGACCGAGAAGCCCAAATCGTTGATTGCCCATTGGTTTTGGCAGGATGTTGGCCTCCTCGTCTTTTCGGCTTCCCTACGCTCCACGACGGCCCAAGAGGTCACAAGACCGCCCAGGGGCAGCCCACGAGGTCTCCAAGATGGCCACAAAACTGCCCAAGAGGGCCCAGACGGCCACAGAGGGCCCCAAGACGGCCCAAGAAGCCCTCCGGACGGCCCAAGAAATTCACCTGGAACCGAAAATGTGAGCCTTCCGCTCCAAGAGGCCCCTAGGAGGCCCTGAGAGGGCCCCCAAGGGGCCCCCAAGGAGCCCCAAGAGGTCCCACAGAGGCCCCAAAGAGGCCCCAGGAGGCCCCGAAGAGGCCTCAAGAGGCATCAAGACTGCCTCCCGGAGCTCCCCGAGAGGCCAACCACGAGATCCCAACCGACATCTACGATGCCTCTGACCAACCGCCCAGGCGCGGCGGCGGGATAGGCCGGAGGCCACTCTCTCTCTCTCTCTCTCTCTCTCTCTCTCTCTCTCTCTCTCTCTCTCTCTCTCTCTCTCTCTCTCTCTCTCTCTCTATATATATTTATATGTATATCCCTCTTTCTCT